CCATTAACTCCTCTTGATCTTATGCCATTGCCACGATATGAGCACGTTAGTTTTGATGGCAGAAAAAGGGCGGAATTTGTACAACAACTTCATTCTCAAGTTCGGGATAACCTATGAAAGGCAGTTGACAATTACGCAAAACAAGCTAACCGTGGGCGCAAGAAAGTTGTATTTGAGATAGGAGATTCGGTTTGGCTACACTTAAGGAAGGAAAGATTTCCAGAATTGCGAAAGTCAAAACTTACCCCCCCCCCCCCCCCCCCCCGTGGCGATGGGCCTTTTCGAGTGTTGGAACGTATTAATGATAATGCCTACAAACTTGAACTCCCAGGTGAGTACCAAGTTCAAGCTACTTTTAATGTTTCTGACTTAAGCCTTTTTGATGCAGCGGATGAATATCTTGTTCGGAAGAACAAGAAAGCTTTTCAAGAAGGAGGGAATGACGAGGACGTCCAAGCTTCAAGCATTAAAATGCCCGTGGGACCCATCACTCGAAGCCGAGCTCGTCAGTTTCAAAAATCCGTCACTGCATTGATCAGACGATTTTTTATGGAGAATTAATTTAAGGATGATGCTTGGAGACCACTTAGCCCTCACCTGACGCTACTTCAATGGGACCTGCAAGAATCCCAATTGAAAGATCAAGAGAATCGCTAATCATGGAAGATTATCAAGGGAATCATCACTTATGGAGAGAATCACTAATTATGGAAGTATATAAAGGAAATCATCACTTATGGAGAGAATCACTAATCATGGAAGTATATCAAGGGAATCATCACTTATTATGGAGGCTTTTAGAAGTACCTTAATATATATTTCCTTTTATTATAAGTTTCCATATAGTATAATTCCATATCTAAAACTTCCCTAATTATTTATTTCCTTATAGTTAGATTTACATTTTGGTTTGTTTCCTTTATTATTTGTTGCCTTTTATTTTCCTCAAGGACCTCTATATAAGGTCCTTGCCTATCATTGTAATAGGAACTTTTTTTTTTACATCTTGAATTGAATTTCACTTTTATAATTTTCTAGTGTTAGGGAGTGATTTCCTCGCATTTAGAATCTCAAATCGGGTCTTTGGAGTGATTCCATCGGTTCGTGGCTTCCAATCCTTTGCAGTGGGATTTAGCCTATTGTTTGTGTTTTACCTATGGATTGATTTTAGGTCCGAGACTTATTCTCGTGCTTGGTTATCATCTATACTAATTCACATTCTCCGCACTATCTTTCTTCTTCCTTCTCTTTTCTTTTATACATATTCTTAATCCATTTGTTCTATTGAACTTTGTGGGTAAGATGGCTAATTTTGATCATTCACCACCATCACCACTTTTGCAATGTCACCGTGTGTAATATCAAGGATGTGTACTTGATAACTCACATATTGAATGTAATATTGTTGAATCTCTATGTCCTCAAACACTACAAGACATTATCAATTTTGTAACGAGATTTTTTCGTTCCTAAATTCACTTTTTTCGTTACTAATGATATTAGAGACGGAATTAGAGATGGAATTACGTTAGCTACGTGAACTTTAGGAACGGAATTCCATTACAAATATACTACTTTTTTTGTAGTGAAATTCAATGAGTACTTCGTAGAAGCACTCGTGAAAGTCACCTGCCAAATTGTGGTACTGGATGCCACAAAGGACATTGACATGAATGTAAATATTTGTCTGTATGTGTGTCTTGATTAGTATGTGAATGCAGACAGGCTTGGATATTTGTTTAATGTAGTTGGATATTATATTTCTAGTTGGAATGTTGTTTAATTTAGTTGGATATTACATTTGTACATACTGTATTGTTATTATCAGGAATGTTTGTTTGTATAAGTACTCTTGTATTGATTTTATTAGGAATGATGAGAATGAAAACGGTTTAGGTTTCTCTTCTGATGCAATAGTTCCAGATGTTCTTGGAGATTTTATTAGGAATGTTGTTTAATTTAGTTGGAGATTTTATTATCAGAGGAGAATGTAGTTTGGTGTTATGGGCATAATAATATGTACACGTATTGTCTATGGTTTCAAGTTTCTATTTGTGTCAGAAGGCATAGATTTTTTCATTGTTTTTATTTTCTTATTTGCTGGTTTTGCATCCATTATCAAATTGGCCGATTGTTCTTGAAGAATAAAGAGGATGGGGTGACAATAATAATAATAATAATAATAATAATAATAATAATAATAATAATAATAATAATAATAATAATAATATTAATGGGAAAGTTGTATTAAAATCTCTGTCAGAGAAACCCAATTGTAATTAAGTCCCTATTAAAAATCAATTAGACTGCAGTCCCTAATTTATGGATTAGGTTTATTATAGCTCCCCAATTTGCATTTCTCTCTCATTCACCGTTGTATATGCAAAAGATACTCGAAATAGGTTGATTAATTCTTCTAATGTTGTAATATATACCTACAATACTTCCCGCTCTACTCCCATTATAACCTTATATACTGTTAAATATCGCGTACCTTTTTTGTGAATTAAAAAAATAGTAAAAAAAAAATAGTTACTCACGATTTACCAGGAGTTGAGGTAGGAAAACCACCCACAACTCCCCTCACCCCGATTTTAAACCCTACCTCTTCCATCTTCAGGTGAATCGACGTTCTCCAACCTCCGGCAATCAAGTAGCGAAAGATCTGTGCAAAACTACTGAAGAAAATAGCTGACCTACTCCCATCTCCTAGGACAAGCTCGAAAAAGTAAGACATTTTTTTATTTTTTTTGTTGACGTTATTGTATTTTATATTGTAGTTTGTTCTATTGTTTGGGATATAAGTCTTGGTCCCGTGTTTGTATGCCTCGATAGGTTCGGTGTTGAGGAGCCTTGGGTGATCGATGTATTTGTGTTTGTTAACTGTGTTTGAAATTGTTTGTATATTTGCCCACGTAGACCGAGTTGGGTGTTTTATCTTGGCACCAATTTTGGATAATTTTATTTGTTTAATCTGTGATTTTTTTTTAAATTTTGCAAATATCCATTTTGTATAATTACCCAGAGTTTTATATTTTAGTTTTATGTTTGATTGTTCGGTAATTAGTCATGCTTGTGGGTTTGCAAATGTAGTATTGTTAGGTACATCGAGTTGCATTTTTTAGGTCTAGTTTGCTAAGTAATATACATTTAGGGGATTACTGTGTACTCAAAATGTGTTGTTATGTACTCCTGATGGATTCTGATAAACTTTTAAATAAATTCGAGATTTGGGTAATGTGAACTAATGATATTTATTTACAGAATGGATAAGGAATACAAATCGGTTATAATTTGAAAGTGGTATGGTGCGTGTTTTTTGACATCTCGATGACCCTAGATTTGGCCACAGCATTTTCTCTATCATATTTTTTTCCCTTACTATTTTATCATCTAATTCTGACAGTGATTCTGGTTCACTAAATTCATCTTCACCGATTCCCTCACAATCATCATCTAATATTACTAAATCATCACTTGTTGGATCATGTATTCTGTTGTAATCCACACTAGGAGCATCAACAATTGCATTTTCAGAATTTCTTTGGAATTTAACAAATAATTCTAAACACTTGTAATCAATAGTTGAATTCAAGAAATGCTCGAGATTAACCATAGTGATCGTAATTAACCTCGATTTTTAAATACCATAGCCATGTGTCCAACTAAATGGCATTTTCAAAATAATAGAATATTGATGTCAATCTTTTCCGGTCGCATAAAAAATAATACCTTCTAAATCTTCAAGCATACTATTACGTCCAATAAAAGTCATATATTTGGGATCATAGTCATTTTCTATTACTTTAGAATTTCGAATAATATTATCATCCCAATATAATAAAATATCAATATTACTATTGGCACCAGACATCTGTTCAAAAATAATAATAATAAAATATTAATGCTACATTCATAAACAAACACATAAAATTATATAAAAATAAAAAAAATATAAATTTCATATTAAAATTATCAATATTAAAATAAATAAATAGAAAATAATAAAATACAATAAATATATAATGCATAATATTGTATAAATATATGGAAAATTTTCTAACATTTTATAAAACTAACAAAATATTATAAATCTATCAAAAAATTTATTTTAATAATACGTAAACTTTACATGAATACATATAATAAATATTCAAGAAAATAAAAATAAAAAAAAAGAAAAAGAAAACTTACCGAGGAGGGTGAAGTTGTTGAGAAAATACTTATCGTGTGAAAATATATATATTGTGATATAATGGATGAAGGAAAGAAGAAGGTAATTAGTTAAATGAATTAAGGAGTTCCCAAAACTCCTTAAATTGACATCCAAGGAGTTACGAGAACTCCTTTACTTCAAAACTTCTCAATTTATCAAAATTAAGTAGTTTTTAGAAATACTTTGAGGTCTACTTTTTTAAATAGTTTTGACTTAGGACATTATTTTATAAAACCCTAATAGTCCCACCATTAGTTTTAATGTCTATTTGATGTAGTCATATTGACGTAATGTGTTAACTTTGAAATTTAAAATCTACTTATTGTAGTTGTTATGTCTATTTGATGAAGTTGTATTGACGAAGTGTGTCTAGAAACTTCGTTTGTTATGAAATTTTGTGTCTCTTTGTAGGAATTCATCGTTCCCGACGTGTATGGGTATTTGACAGAAAGCACAAACAATAATCTAAATAAGAATTAATCTATAATGAAACAAAGAAACAATCAACATAAATATGAATTAACCTATTTGGGTACAATTATGTACGAGGAGCCGCAAACATGATTATACAGAAATGAACATAATACCAAATACACAATGAGCAATGAACACAAATATGAATATAAGGAATATGAGCAATCAACAAAAAAATGAATTAACTTGTTCATTAGCAAATTGCACGCAGTGTACATTAACAAAAAAATTCGCCACCACATCACATAATGCAGGTTCATAAGCTTTGAGATTATCACCAAAAAAAAAAAAAAAAGTTATATTCCCCCCATTGACTTGCGGCTGCGACATGCAACATACTATTGATAAACCACACAATAGTTTCAATAGATTAACATGCAAGTAGCTGCCAAAAGCAATTTAATACCTAATATATCACCATACTACTAGAACGGTTCATTTTGATGGACCAACCCCTAAACATAGCCACTATGTCCTCGTCAGCCTCTAATATCGGCAGCTCCTATCCATGAGTGTTAATGAGCCGGACTTATCAGGTGTAGTACAATTGCACGACCGGTGCTCGGCCCCTGCCATCCCGTACATCTGGAGAAAAGTTTCATAATAAACACGATCCTTATCGAAATTCGGAAATAACACACATTGTCTAAATTTGTATCGCATACAAGGACCCTTGTACTCTATGTACCCACCCACCCGCATGTATATGTTCATGTTCGGAATCTTGTTTAGCGTTTTGGACGCAATACCACCACGTGCACAAGAGAAGTCAACCAACCAAGAATATGTCCACCCAAAACATATTGGGCAACAAAAATAATTGCTTCTCACCACATACAAATGCACCGATGTCCACACAAGAAAGGGATTCCCGATAAATGTAAAAATCCAAATTCGATAGAGATTGTGCCCTCTCATTCGAATTCTGCAAAATTAGTACGATCTACAAAGCAACAATATTCCTTAAAAACAACACACAAACCATTTTCCTAAACCTTCACCCGATTTCTAACTATTTGACCACAAAAAAAAAGGAAAAAAAAACCAAGAACAACCAAGGGCCTTTCGAAATGGGAAGAGGAGTATAATACCATGACGCTTCAAAGTACTCTTCGTCACTCTACATGCAAGACACTTATCAATATGTTTACACACATAAGGCCAATAAAAGTGAATGCTAAACACATCAAGAGTAGCATGTCTACCAAAATGCACAATCATATAACTATCATGATTCTCCTCAATCAAACATCTCTAATGCTACATCTAAGAATGCACAATTTATCACCACGAAACAAATACCCATAATGCTTATAGTAATCATCAAAACTACGCTTCTCACAACTCCTAAATATATCACCAAAGTCTACATCATGATTATGCAATTAAAAAATATGAGAAAAACCAACTAAATGCATACGAGTATGATTAAGTAAAGTATACCTTTGTGAAAGTGCATCGGCAACTACGTTCTCATTGCCTTATTTATATTTAATCTCAAAAGGAAATTGCTCAATAAAACTTATTCACCGAGCATAAACCTGACTGAGCTGCTATTGCCCGCACAAATACTTGAGAGTCTCATGATTTGAATGAATTACGAACTCCTTTGGTAGCAAGTAGTGTTGCCACACTCTCAAGCTTGCACCACCACATATAATTCTTTATCATACATTATATAGTTCAGGGCTGCTCCATAGAACTTCTCACTATAATAAGCAATTGGTTGCCCTTCTTGCAATAGTATTGCGCTTATACCAGCTCCACTAGTATCATATCGGACTTAGAAAGCTCGATCAAAACAGGTAGTGCCAAAACTGGAGCATGCGTCAAACTATTCTGAAGCTTCTCAAAGGCTGTTACGTGACTTGCCTCTCACTTAAATAAAACATTCTTCCTCAAAATAGAGGTCAATGGGGTTGCTATCACACTAAAATATGGTATAAATTTCCTAAAAAATCTACATATTCCAAGGAACCTCCAAACTTCGGCTGCACTTGTACATTTTTTTTCATTCCCAAATTGTAGCAATTTTAGCTTTATCAATTTTAAGTCCATCTGTACCTACAAAAAAACCAAGAAAATAATTTGTTTAGTGAAAAATATGTATTTCTTTAAAGTACCATACAATTTAGCATTTCTTAAAGCATAAAAAATTTGCTCAATATGTTCAAAATGATCCTCCAAACACCTACTATAAATGAATATGTCATCAAAATAAACTACCACAAACTTTTTAATAAATTCTCTTAACACGTAGTTCATCAATCGCACAAAAGTGTTGGGTGCGTTTGTTAACCCGAATGGCATAACTAGCCACTCGTACAACCTAAACTTGATTTTAAATGTTGTTTTCCATTCGCCTCCCGGCTGCATACAAATCTGGTGATAACCACTTCTTAAGTCAATATTCGTGAACATCTGTGCTCTATGTAATTCTTCAAGCATATCATATAGGAATTGGATGTTGGTACTTTACAGTAATTGCATTGATAACCTTGTAATTAACACACATATTCTATGAGTGATCTTTTTTAGGGACAAGTATAACAGGTACCGTACAAAGAGATAAGAATTCTCGAACCCATCACTTAGTAAGAAGCTTTTGGACTTGTCTTTGAATTTTCTCACTTTTCTTTGGATTACACTACACTTATAAGCTGGTGCACCCAGTACAAAATTAACACGATGTTCAATGCCTCACAACGGTGGTAATTCAGATGGTATATCATCCGGAAAGACATCCTCAAACTCCTTAAGAAAGTCTATAAAAGGAGAATACAAGTGAGAAAAAGAATCAACATCTATAACAAATATATCTTCAAGTAAAATAATATAAAAGTAGTTTTCCTCATCTTGGATACTATTTTGGCGAATTTCTTTATTGAAATCTTTGAGACTAAGCATTAGGTTGACTTTGTCTTCTCCCGAAGACTTTGCCAAAATTGTAGTGGCAACCATTTGTTTTCACTATATCATGCATAGACCTACGCAAGTGTTCAGAATCACGACGTACGGCCTCAGGTGGTAGAGATGAAATGTTCAACTTTTTACCATCCTTAGTAAACAATATTTGATTCTTATACCCATTGTACAAGACACGCCGATCAAATTGCCAAGGACGTCTGAAGAGAAGATGGCATGCAGCCATTGGACACACATCACAAAGCATATCATCGTTGAACCCACCAATGGTAAGGTGACTCTTGCTCGTTTATCAACACAAACAACCCCTTTGTCACTCATCCAATGTAATTATATGGCTTTAGATAAGGGGTAGTGTTTAGACATAGTTTCTCTACCATATATGAACTTATAATGCCGGTGCAGTTCCTGAATCCATTATCATGGATATGGTGTGCCCTTCTACTTTGCAATGACAATAGAACAAATTTTCTCATTGTTCTTCATCCTTATGGTGTGTATCTCCATGTGGCATAGGTGTTAAGGCACGCATTACTACTAAACTTAATGGGTCCTCATCGCAAACTTCTTCAACGTTATCACCGTTTCCAGCCTCTTCTTCATCCTCTACTACCTCATCACCATCACCATCACCATCATTGACATACCCACATTCGCCATTCTCTAAAATCATAATGGTTCGTTTATTGGGGCATTGACCGACATAGTATCCCTGTCCATGACACTTATAACATGTAACAATTTTTTCCTTTCATTTCCCAAACTTCTTTCCTTTGAACTTTGCAGCCTTATAATTCTTATCAACTACTTTAGATTTGTTTTTATCCATATTTTTATCAAAAGACTTACGAAAACAACTTCCCCAGATCCAGCGGAAGACACGACCGGAGCTACAAAACTCATTAGGAACTTTTGATACAAAAATCCGGTTGAGGCTAGTCTCTTGAGCTGCTCCTCTTGTTTGATAGCCAAACTCATAGCTTCCCGAAGAGAACAAAAACAATGCAGCTCAACCGTATCAACTATCTCACGCCTTAAAATTTTAATAAATCGAGCTTCTGTCAATGACTCGCACTCATCAATATCCAGACGCATCATCAAAATCTCTAATTCTTTAAAATATTCTTACACCGATTTCAAACCTTGCACCAAGTACTGCAACTTGATATTCATAACTCGTTTATAACTTTCCGGGACAAAACAACTCCATAATCTCCTTCAGCTGGGGCTAGGTATTAATTGGATTTTTTTAATGCCACTCTCTATAACGCATTTCCTTCTCCCACCAAGTTAATGCATAACCCCTGAATTCAAAAATTGCAATTCGGAATTTCTTGCCATCCAAGTAATTACGGTAGTCAAATGTCATATTGCACTTTGCTGTCCAATCCAAAAATTCCTCTGCCCCTCCTAATCCTCCAAAGTTAGGAAGGTTAATCCTAATGGTAGAAAGATCATCATCCACTTCGCCACGTCGATGGTAAGTTTGGTCTCGTTCATGGAAGGAGCGCTTTGAGTTAAGACTATTGTGTGCGTCTGACCTCATTGAAGAACTCACATCACGATGATGAAAAGCCTCAGCTGCATCATATCTACCCCTAATATCAGCTACTCCAGAAGAAACCTCAATTCGTGCCGTCTCCAACGATGAAAACCTATGATTGAGGTCCTCTGTATTTTTATTCATGACGTACTAAACATGATTGCAAGTTGCCCTTTGTTGTATTTTGGCCTACAACTGTTGCAAACTTGATTCTAACAACTCCTTCAATTATTCAAAAATGGTCACCTTTCAATAAAAGACAAACTATATATATGTATATCGAAAGGTAAGTTCTCTCACACTCTCTCACAACTCTCAAAAAGGGAAAATAAGAAGCAACTACGATCAAAAGAGAAGAAGCATTTTGCAATTATCTCAAATAGTACATAAATATTCCTTCAAATTCAATACTCAAGGATAATTAATATCAAACAAAAGTAAGACACATCAACTAGAAAATAAACTAGAGGATTCGATGCCAAAGTATAATCGCAAAATGTAAAAGAAAGTTTGACACAAGTGCTTATTCCAAAATTAATCAAAAAGCTAGAAACAAATCCTTAGCACATCATTTGATCATGAAAATCTCTCAAAACTTAATAAACCTCTAAGAAGTATAGAACTACTCCAAAATGTGACTACCCAAAATATCGAAATATGCATTATAACAGAAAGATGAAATGTGTTGCTCAATATTCGTTTTTCTTTTGTTCAATCAATATTTTTATTTATTTTGATTCTCTAGATTTTTACTTAATTATTAGAGCTCACCTTTTTCAAAATCACATTGCTATCTTAGCTCTTTTACTGCACTTCTGCCACACTCCTCAAAATAGAACTTAGTGCACAGTAGTCAATTTTAAATGCAGTTCCAGAGGGCTATTCAACTTCAAATCTCATTCCAAGCACTGAAATCAACCTCAAGGAGTTACCTAATTGGGAAAAAAAAGAATTACTTAAAAATTTTCAACCAGTTAAGAGCAATTATTCGAACAAACAAACTGCTCAAAATAGAAAATAGAATGTTAGACCATAAATTTTCAAACTCACCAAAAACTATCTCCCGGCCTTTTTCTAAAGATTCTGAGATCATAGTATCAAAAAATATGTGCAAATTGCATGGATCAATTGATTCAAATTCCAAAACCTCCTCAAAATATCAAATTGGAGTTCGGACGCAAAAGTTATGGCCAAACTACGATTTACCGACAAAATGCACAATTTCACTCTTCCGATCCCCCAATTCACTCGATTTCTTGATCATTTGATGTTTTTAGACTCAAAATCAACTATATTATTCAATTAAGATCTAAGAAAGCTTAGAAAATTACGAACAAGGCTTGTTAATGCTGGCCAAAAATCACTACTACTATTTGTGTTTTCTTGAGAGACAAATTCAACAGCACAACTCATATTTAACAACTAACAATGGACTGACACTAGAGAGGAAATTTTGCAAAAAAAAATTGGCTTTGTCCAGTAACTATGATGAACTATCTCCAAACAATATGAATTCAACCTATCTTTCAACACAAATTGGATCAAACAAGACATAGAGATATATGATCGAATATGTTGTGAATAGAATACTTCAAATCTTATGAAAAAAATCAGCAATCGCTCTGATACCAATTTATGACATGGATTAGGATCATCTCCATAAATCAAACTCGAAATAAAATATCTAATATATTTAGAAAATAGTAAATCAAACTTACAATTAAATAATCGAATGAAAAATAGAGTAAATCGATTTCCAAAAGCAATCACTCCTCTCAAGAAAACACTGTCGAGAACCCACAAACTGTTTGAGGTTGTCGATGCATCTTCCATCTCTCACAAAATTGCATCGAAAGTTTAAATAATCAATTTGCCCTCTCAACTGCTGGAATCACTCAAACCCTAAAAAATTTTTCCGTAGTAAGATAGAGAAAACCCTCTCTAATTATCTCTCAATTCTAGCTTGTGTGCTGAAGAAGAAAATACAAGACACTATATATACTGAGTGGCAAGTTAATCTAACCACATATTTTGAGTGACAAGTTAATTTAAGTCATACATCTTAATTAAGATCACAGGATCATAACTTCCAAGCAAACAAGTAACTTCGACCGCGTCCGGGTTGCATTGGTCCATCTAAGGTCGGGTTCGGGTAATTCAGAGCTGTGTCAGAGGACCTTGAAATGTAATAAATTTAACACTTTCAATTTGACTTTTCCAACGAGCATTTAATAAAGATTTTAAAATTAAATTTTAAATATTATCAAGTAAAACTTTCCATCTTTTCGTATAACTTGAAAATAATGTATATATGCGTTGCATAACCCCAAAAAATGATATTATTTTTACACAAGAATGTGTCATATCACAAAAGTGAGATTAAGATTATGATAAGTACAAGGCATATAGAATGCTCTATGATATCTAGCAATCTTTTTTGAATTCTTAGATGTTTACCTTTCATATTAGAACCATTGCCATATATAGCCTTGACCCCTTATATGATCAATATTAAAATAAAAAACTTAGAGTGCACATACTAATTCATTAAAAAATCTTAATCCACTTGTATCATTCACTTTTAAAAATTCTAAGAAATACTGTTCTATTTTAATTTTGTTAATTGATGTATTTACACGCCATACAATCAATGTCATTTGTTCTCGATGACTAACATTTGGAGTATAATAAAGAATTATCAATTGAATTTTTAATAATATTTACATTTGAATTTCTAACACTATTAGCCAATAAATAAATCAACTCATTTTGAATTTTCTGTCTGAGATAATAATAATAAATTTCATGATTTTGAATACGTTTAAAATGATATTACATTATTAAATCAAATTCGACAATCATTTCAATAATTTCCAAAAAGTTACTATTACTATCTTGATGAAAATTTTATTGCATCATCGAAAAGATAAATTATTCTTAGAAAGATATTTTATAACAGAGATTATATTCATTAAAATTTGTCTCCAACGTTCTTTTTCTTTGTAATTTCTTGTTGCATATCTCTATCAATTGTTTGATTTATTTTTTAATCTAACTTTTAATTCATTCCAAGTATTCATGTGTGTTATATGTTCAATACTATTCTCATCATGTTGTTTAAGTCTTTCTTCTAAATGTTTCCAATCATTAAATCCATCATTTGTCAATAATTTTTTTTGTTAATGCTAGTCTTAAATAAATTGCAACAAAAATAAAATACTTTATCGATATTTTTAGAATAAACTAATTATTGTCAATCACTATTTTATCAATTATTTAATTTTCTAGAATAATAAGCATATGAGAAGTGCCTATAAGTGTTATCTAATGGAAAAGTAACATCTAATTCTCTTGCTGGTTATTTTTCAATTAAAATACATTTTTCTTTATTTGTAAGATTATTCCAATTTTTTGGATCATAAATATCTAATGGAGAAACTATAGTATCATTAATTCTTAAATTTGATGTATTAGATTTATATGCATGATTGATTATCTTCATTTAAATTGTTAACATATTTATTGGCATTATTTTCTTCATTTAAGTTTTTATTGTGTTCAAGTTGTTCAATACTATTTGTATCTAATTGATCTAAATTTCTAGAATAATCTATGTTCTTATTTAAAAATCTATCAATAGCTCCTATTTGTTATTCTATAAATTGTTTCTCTTGCTTCTTTTTTTTTTTCACTATCCGATAAATATTTTATAGACAACATCTTATCAAACAACAATTTTAGAAAACAAATAATGAGATATATATAAAAACAAATAAATAACAATATCACCTTAATATTCATAAGATTTAAATACCTTAGAAGAAGCCAAGAAGTAGAAGAATAGCTCAGCTGCAATTTTCCATGTATAATTAACGACTTCTTCTACAAACATGAAACAAATCAACAATATATAATCAAAAGTTAAAATCATTATCAAATCAACAATCAACTCACTTACAACTTATAAGTTACAAATTACAATAATAAAAATAAATAAATAAACAAAAAAAATTAATTAATTAAAATTTTTTGAAAATAAATTTACACACACTCTGCATGCACAATGCACACAAGTTTGTATAGACTAATCTAGTAGGAAGGTTGTATTTTCCATTTGGTCATATGCCCTGATGATCCTACATAATACCTTTGATATCTCCTTAATTCTTCATGTTGTGAGAAATATATATACATATGTATATATAAAATAATACTCCCCCTGTCCGACCAAAGTATGCCAACCTTTTTTTGGTCCCCACCCAATTATACAACTTTCTATAAAAAGAAAAATTTAACAAATTTAATAACAATTAAATCTTAACCAATTAAAATTATCTATTGAGGTGTATTTGTTTATTATTATTATTTTTTTAGTTTAAAGTATTTTTATGTTAGATATATAAAAATATATCAATAAGATAAATAATAATATTTTGTGTTGAATTGTTATTTTTTATAAGTGTGTAAAATAGATATTATATATTACGTGAATGTGTGCCATATTATTTTTTTCTATAATATTAATTGTGAAACGCATTAGACGTTTTTTTTTTTTTTGGGTGAACACATTAAGTTTTTTTACCACTACAAAAAAAACAGTGTTTTACTCATGAAAATTACTCACGGAATTCTGTGAGTAATCATGAAAATCCATTAGTAAATTGATTACTCACAGAATTACTCATGAAATTTTGTTCTGTTAGTAAATACCTCGTAAGTAATTTCTCACAAGAAAAATCTATGAATAATTTTGTAAATAAATTACTCACGACATTATTCGCGAAATTCTGTCCATGAGTAATTTACTCACGTAATTACTCACGAACTTTGTCCGTAAGTAAATTTGCTCACATAACAAATTATGTGAGTAATTCCGTGAGTAAAAATTAACAAACTTTTTTCATTTGCGACGGAATGATTCCATGAGTAATTTCATGAATAATTTACTCACAGAATTACTCACATAATTTTCCCTTGCAACATGTCAACATGATGTTTGAAATGGACTAATTTCCATGAATAATTTTCCCGACCCCCAAAATAATTTATATTTCGATTTATCTATACCTGTCTCAAACCATATATTACGACTACACAAATCCAAACTATAAAGTAAATTCCACCAAACCAAATATCTAATAAACAAAATACGAGCGAATCACACGATATTTATAAGCATAATTCCGTAATCGATAGATACCACAAAAAATAGAAACATAACCGTACAAAGGCTGCAAAGGCAAACGCAAAGGCTAACGGCAAGAAAACATATATAAGCAATATAAAGTCTGTATAGCTTTCTGTGCAAAGGTGTAATGCTCTGAAAATGGTAAAAAAAACCTACAACAATAACATTAACTACCTGTTCAAAAAGTGACTCAGCAAACACACATCCAACCGACCAAATCCCGATGCTAGTAGTATATTATGTGGCTGCGAAAATCAGCTCAGGAGCTCTATAATAGCTGGAGCAGATATAAGATATATTGGTCTCTTGTTTGACCTGGCAAAGAAACAGAATATAATTATTAAATACTTAAATTGCTTAAATGCAGGTTCGACTGTAAAAAAAGGTAATGCAGACCAAGACTTTCGCACTTCCGCACTTCCAAAAAGAAAGTTGTCATGGGCAAATAGACTACTAGTTATTTACAAACTTACCGCCAATAGTATAAATCTTGAAAATTATGATAACAAATTCGTAAAAGAATTAAATGTGGATAAAGGATGTGATAATACTAAGGTATATGCATGTGTGTGTACATATATGTGTCTGGATCTTAAAGTATATATAAAAAAGAAACAAGATATATCAATTCACAATGGACATTCCAACCTGTTGCTATCGATCACGGGTTCCACTGGATGTGGCTCTCCCTCTTTAAGAAACGCCCGAGTATAGAGTTCACCTATTTACAGATAGAAGACAATTTTTAAATTAACACAAATCATTAAGGTGAGCTGAGATGAACCCTAGTGTCAGTAAAGCACCATTGTCGTATCCTTTAACCAAATAATGCATTCTTCCCCTTTATTAACAACTTTTGGAGTCTCTTCGCATGCCAATGTGTTGCCATTCCATTGGTTAGCCCTACAGTAAAGAACAATTACTTTTAAATTATTGATCAGAGGTATCGATTCATGAAAAATCAAGTTTGCACCAACTCTAGAATTGATATATAAAATACATCGCTCATTGTTTTTGAGATTGTAATTACAACATATAACTTTCCTGAGACATTGCTCGATGTAAGACCCAGACAATTGTTTTCGAGATTGTAATTACAATATATAACTTTCCGGAGACATTGCTTGATGTAAGACCCGGACGATAGGAGCTTCTGCCCCTATGCTCACATGTTGAAGTAATATGATGTGTTCGACCTAAGACATGAACAAGAAGAAGCATGTGTTTATGAATTATGAAATACTGCTCTAATAACCCAATCTCAACTTTTAATGTATGCAAGACTAAGGCAGAAGAGAATTTTAGATACTGAAAAGTTTGAAGAGACTTGGTACTAGCCTAAAATTATGCCATGACTGCAAAACAAAATTTTAATATTCAATTCAACTACGTCGAGCTGTCTGAAGATCATAAAGCAGGGATGGTGATAATCACAAGTTAGTTGGATTCAAGAAAGGAAATTTAGTTTGTTAATTGTGATGGACATATCACAGATATATGTGAAGCTAACAAGACCTCTACAGCATTCGGCAGATGAAGAAGTTACACATTGTATTGGTTCTTGGCACACTTGTCAAGCTTCTTCGCATCCTCTTGTGTTAGAAGAGTAGGTAAATTATCTCTTAGTAAATATGTAGAATGAAAGAGGTACTAAACATGATTGACAAGAAACTTACATGGAATATTAAACCGATATTGTCATTGTAATTCAGTAACTCTTTCCATTGTTTTCCAATGCTCACCTAAAAATGTTGATTTCATAATAACAACATGAATTGACATAGTGTGAGGCTATAAAATGTGGATAGTGAATCGTTCAAGTCATTCCTCAGACAAGTGAACTTTTATCTTGCCTATTTCGTACATTGACAACGGCTCTACATATCTGATCTCTATGATGAAATTGCTCTCCAATCATTGCCAGCAACTGAATAGAATCAATCCCACCAAAGAAAGTTTCTATGCTGGATCATTAAAACAACAATATCGAACTAATTACATTATTAACTTCAAGACAAAAATGATGAGTTCTAATATTAGGTTTTATATAAATAAATACCATACATAATATATCTAGACAAAAAGAACCTATAATTACTTATTGCAGTCTAGTTTACTTCTAATAATTGATGTGATACAAATAAAACAAGATGTAATAACAAGATAAAGATAGAAAAAAAAAAGATCGATATAATGCTCATTTAGAATTCCTTCCCCAAATTATCCATATACAACAACTGAAATATTAAACTTTTATCTATGTTCCACAATCATTTATTGACTTATGATCTACAGGCAATCTGCTCTAACTTTATGTAAGTCTTACAGTTATGGCTACGATTAAATTTTATCACACATGTTCAATGTACGTTAATTTATATGTACACACACTTACAAACTAATATGTTTATTGTAATAAAAAAAAGTATAAAACTAATAGTAAAACTAATTGCGTTCTTACTAAATGGTGGAATTGATTTATGTATATATTCCAAGATCCACTTATGTTTATATTTACTACTTTTAAGCATAAAGATGCATAATAATTGTTTTGAATGGCGTGACCGCCACCATAATGTAGCAAATTAGATGAAGATTAACAAAAATACTGTAAAATTCAACATATCTAGAAACAATGAGATGCCAACAATTTTATTTTCTCTTGCAGATAACATTATAATTACTTGAGCGTTAAACAACCGACTCAAATTAGGAGCTTTTTGGCAAAGTAAACAACAACATTAACTACCAAGTTAAGTAGTATTCCCAAATCATCACAATTTAAATAAATTGCACTCACACCAAACTCTACTAGCTTATACACCGTCTTCTTGAAATCAGCACAATCATCTGAAGTTCTACCAACCAACATGCTTCCTGTTAAAAGGTTTTACGAGTCTTAGTTAAAATCCGAAGCTTTTTCAAAGTAAATTTCAATCGGATTTGACTATTGGTCTCTATCTACCATTAGTTGTAAAGATATAAAACACTTGAGGGGTGTTCTCATAGAGTTTGCAGATTTATGTTATCCTTGATTACTTTCATATCGAATTTGTCATAAACAAGTGGTATCGAAGCCGTCACAAATAGAGAATTCAACGAAGAATCTTCCTAATGAAAGGTATAAGACAATGTTATGCAACACCTTTGGAATCTCAGAGAATCCTATAAGATTCATAAACAAAGTTGACTATACAAAATAGCAAGTTAAGCATCAAATTTTAGTGAATAAAATCTCCAAATCATAGAACACCCTAAAGCACAATGATTACATGAAAAGCACACCAAATTTGTATCACCGTTCCATTAGCGTATTTGAGACAGTGCAAAAATCGATTGAAGAATTTGGAAAAATCGAATCGAAATCATTTTTTACCAGTTTTCATCCACCCAAGCGTCTGGAGTGGATCCAAACCTTCAGCCCGGACACTCTCGGCCAGAGCTTCCCACAATCCATGGCTTCTTACGGCCAGCTCCCATTTATGACTAGCGGCGGTCACAGTCGAGATGTTGGTGAGGGAGGGCATTTTTCGATATATTGATGAAGAAGCCTGGCTGGCGACAATCTCAGAGGATTGAAATCGAAGTGATGATATGAGAATCGTGTTTGTTGTGAAGCGGGTTGCAATTAAGATTTAGGGCTAGTAACTTTAGTTTAGTTTAATATAAAATTAAAAAAAAAACAATTTTAATTATTTATTTTTAATAAATAAATTATTTATAAAATATGATCAGTAAATATAAGATAAAAATATTTAAAGTTTTAAAGGAATATATTGAACTCTAATAATAAAAAGAATGTACATTACTAAAATTGTACAAAAATTTTTTGTTATATTTGGCATTTTTTGATATGGTAAATCAATTTGCAATATTAGATAAGGGTTGAAATCTATTTTATTTTTTTAAATAAAAATAATTAAAAATAATTTACAAAATAACAAAATGAACGGGTGCTAGGGTTTTGGAGATAGAAGATGTAGAAATAGAATTATAAAAGAAATTCGGGGAGTCATATTATTAAGTAGTCACTAATTCTCTCATTTATTAGACACATAAATAATAAATATATCTCAATAAAATTAAAATTAAAATTATTTATTTTTGAATAAAATTCAAACTTAGAAAAAATTAAAAAAATTAAAAATGAATATATATATATATAAATTGACAGTTCAAATCGAAAAATTTGTGCTTTTAATTTTCGAATTTATCACCTAATTTAATTCCATGAGTAATTTCGTGAGTAAATTTTAATTTTTTAGGAATTGCTCATGGAATTAAATTTGGAAGGAATTTTGTGAGTAAATTTCAATTTTTTGAGTAATTACTTATGATATTAATTCTATGAGTAATTTTGTGGGTGTTACGTATGAAATTTATAATTAGGTTGAAAAACACAAGTTAGAAAAAGAGGTGGACCTATAATTGGGTCTGTTAGATTGATCAAGGAGTGTTTCGAGATAATCGAGTGAACTAGACGTATTTCTAAGGAAATAGACAGGTCGGAAAGTCCGCAAGTCGGAAAGTCTGCAGGTCGGAAGGTCCGCAGGTCGGAAAGTCCGCAGTTCGGACGGTTTGCAGGTTGGACGGTCCGCAGGTCGGACAGTCTACAGGTCGGACGGTCCGCAGGTCTGTGGTTGGACCAACAAGTCGGATGGTCTGCAAGTCGAGAGGTTTGCGGTCGGACCAATGAGTAGGAAGGTCTGTGGTCGGACCAACAAATCGGATGGTCTGCAAGTCGAGAGGTTTGCGGTCGGACCAATGAGTCGGAAGGTCTATGGTCGGACCAACCAGTCGGATGGTCTGCAAGTCGGGAGGTTTGCGGCTGGATCAACAAGTCGGAAGGTCTGCGGTCGGACCAACAAGTCGGTTGATCCACAGTTGGATGAGCGAATTGTTGGTTGTTGTGGAGGTCGGATGTTGCGGGGAGCGAGTGAGAGTGATAGCTTGGTCGGTTGAGAACACGTGTCAGCAAAAGAGGAGTTAGCAGACGGTTGAGAGGACGCGTTGTAACCGTTCGGGAGACGGTTTCAAGTACTGTTTCTGAAGAATATTTAAGGATTGAGATTTGCAACTGACTAGGACATCTTCAATCATCTTCAAATGACAGCAAAGTCAGTGATTCAGGGATCATCATTTAAGTTTTCAGTCTTTTATTTTCCAGTTTATTTTCTGTACCATACAGTGTTTAGAGATTCCTAATCTCAGGCGCTAAATATATCAAATTCGAAGATAATTTCCTATTTTCAGATTTTACTTTTTTATTGTTGAAGAAATACATCAACAAATTGGCGACCATAGTGGGAGAAAGGCAAGATTGTTGATCCTACATCAACAGAGAATTTTATATGACTTAGGTCTGGCCGAATCATCAGAAAAATCAGTATGGCAGGCTCACAACCTCAATCATCATCAGCACCGGTGGGAGAAAATATTTCACCACCCGTCATGCCAAATCCAGGGGAGATTCCCCAACCACCTACCGATTGGTTGTCTTATGTTCAACAATTGAACAATCAGCAAGCTTCGGCGATGCAGAATATGTTGCGCGAGCAACAAAATCTCATGCAGAACATGTTAGATCAAGCTTTATCAACGGTTACTCTTCAACCCACTCAGACGCCGCCAGGAATATCACCATCAAGAATGCAAGCAAATTTTGCAGGGCCATCATACGTTGACAACACACATCCAAACGCCACAACGTTCAACCGAACAGATAGGGGAAAGACTCCTCTAACTTTCCATAATAATGTTCCTTTGGGACCAAGAGTTGACAATCTGCAGCCAAACGTTGTCAGGGAAGAGAGGCAATGAGCACATGTGCAAGATCCCATATTCATCCCTGATCATCAACACCCTCGGGTGAATCCTGAAGAGATTGCGCAAGTGTTAAGAGTGCATTTCGGCCTGAATCCTCAAATGGCCAATCGCCCTGCTTATCAAAGGCCTTTCCCCGAAAGGATCATTAACGACTATCCACTGCCAAGGAATTATCAACCACCTGATTTCCATGCTTTTTCAGGGAAAGATGGATCCTTCACCATGGAGCATGTGGGTCGCTTTACAGCACAGTTAGGGGAAGTTGGAAATAATCCTTTTTATAAAATGCAATTATTTGGATTATCTCTCACCATAACAGCTTTCTCATGGTTTGTAAACCTGCCACCTGGGCAAATACAAACTTGGGAAGGGTTGGAAATGGCGTTCATGCTAGATTCTTCAATCCTTTACCAACTATTTCTCTTACCGATTTATTGGAATTGAAGCAATATCCAGAAGAGTCAGCCTCACAGTTTATTGAAAGGGTGCGCTTGATGAAAGGACGTTGTCCTACTATAATCAATGAAAAAGAAATGACCAATTTAGTGGTCAGGAATATGCATGGCCGCCTAAGAGAGGCACTCACTGCTCATGATGTGGAAGATTTGGCAAGTCTTGCTTCCAAGGCTGGACATTTAGAGTCTCTTTTTAGAGAAAAGGATCTGAATTTTAGGCGCAATAAAGTTCAGCATATGGCGAGTATGGAAACAGAAGCATACGACTTTGATTATGATCAGACAGAAGAAATGGCGGCCGAAATCATTTCAGGAAAGCCTTATGTGTGCTCTAAGTTAAAGCCAGTGCCAGGAACTGAAGGAAAAGAGCAACCTACGTTTGACAATTCAAAGACTGGTGAAATTTTTGATATTTTGCTAACTGACGGCCAGATTCGAATTTCAAAGGGGCAAAGGTTGGCTACTAAAGAAGAAATCAAAAGAAGACCATATTGTAAGTGGCATAACTCTTTCACACACAATACAAGGCAATGCACTCATTTTCCAAATGAGATCCAGAAGACCATTAAGGCAGGTCGGCTCAAATATATTACTTTGGGTGTAGAGCAGCAACCTTTTCCAAAATACATGCAAGTCCTAGATCATGAAAAAGAAACTCATCAAACAGTGGCCGACCAGAAGAAAAACTCAAGGTCTGTGAAAAAACAGTGGCTAAAAAATAGGATAACCAAGATGGTTATTTTAATGTGGAATTAAAGGAGCAAGTTTTGGTTCGGGACCACCCGACTAGAAGGACGGGCTTGGTCGGAAGCAAATGGACTCGAAATAAAAAACCTTTACCAATTGATGTGGATCCTCATTTTCCAGGCATGAATCGTACTCAGATTCGGAATGCCAAGCGCAGGTATGCTGCGAGATACAGGGATAAGGTCTCTTCATCGAAACAGCCGAATGATATGCATGGTGCTATTAATTCACCCGAAGGAGGTCGGTCCATACGGGTCGCCTCATCGAAGCAGCCGAACGAAATCCGAGGCGCTACTAAATATAATGAAGGAGGTCGGTCCATCAGGGTTGTCGCATTTGAGCAGCTGAATGATGCGCAAGGTGCTATTGATTCTCCGGAAGGAGGTCGGTCCATAGGGGTCGCCTCGTCAAAGCAGCCGACCAGCTTGCGAAGTGCTGCTAATTATCATGAGGGAGGTCGATCTATAAAAGTCTCCTCGTCAAGGCAGCTTAAATATGTGCAAGGCGTCTTTGAGTGCGATGATGGAGGTCGGTCCATACAAAAAAGAGGTAAAGGGGGATCAGATGAAGGAATTGAAGGTTTCAGATGTCAGTATTGTGAGCGGATTAAAGAAGAGTTTCGTTTGGAATCTCTAACAGTTCAACCTGAAACTGATACCAGGGACGAAATTACAGAAGCTGATTCAAGGTCTGTCAAGTCTCGACTTGGGCCACGAGTTCCCTGCAGAATGACAGGAATTAATTGGATTGAAGAAGAACCCTTGTGGGCAAGTCTGGTGGATAATTATATAGAAGAGCCAGAATGGACAAAGATTTCAGATCCTGATTTTCAGTCAGAGGTTCCTCCAATAGTCTTCCCTCCCATTCCAGAAGGCACGGCGTCTCATTTAAAGCCTCTGTATGTTAATGCTCATATTTGCGGAAAACCAATCACAAAGGTTTTTATAGACAACGGAGCCGTCTTCAATGTGATGCCATTAAAAACTCTCAAGAAGTTAGGGAAGGGGATTCATGATTTATCTCATGTGGCTGCCTCAATTGAAGTCGGTCCTAAAAAGATCTCTTCTGTTTTCTTTGTGGTGGATGCAGATACTACATACTCAATCTTACTGGGACGAGACTAGATTCATGCATCTACATGTGTACCATCAACACTGCATCAACAATTAATGTTCTGGGAAGGCAATCAGGTCTTCAAAATGGAAGCAAATGACAACCCGTTTGAAGCATCAGAACAAGTTGAAGAATCAGTTTTTTATTCCGGTCATGTACCTCCAATATCTCAGTTTTTTATGGGTAATGAATACCCAAAGAAGGATTTTAAATTCATCGGCCAGAATTCAATATTCTTTTAAAAGAACAGTTGTACTGTATGGCTCTTGAGGAAGCCAAACCTACTTTTTATAATATATCGTTTATGGAAGGTGCAAATTTACAAGATTGTAGTGTACTTATTTATCAGTTTCATTTAGATCAGCTTTTGAAAAAAGTAGAAAAAAATCAAAAAGACTCATGATGTTCATTTTCAAGAAGATGAGCAATTCCGTTGGCCTGATTTATTAGAGAAAACAA